TGTTTTTCATATCAATGTCCCTTGTTTTTGCATTTTCATGCTTTCAGTTTGTCAAAATGTATGACGCTATGCTGTCTACACCACAGGTCCCACCATATTACGACTAATCTCTACTTTCGATTTAAGCGGAAGTGAAATAATTAGTCAACTTGTACAATGTTTCATATAAAAAGGAATACGATGTCATCGTAGTCTGTTGCTTGGCAGTTGAATTGGGAATTTTTAGTCTCACAATTGGGAAAAATTAACGTTTTTTGGCATTGGGAATGGTACCCTTTATCGGTACAAACAAACAAAGAAACACGGTGGGGCCAGGGGCCCCAGCCCTCCACTTGTTTGAGTATAGTATTTTGCAATTGTAAATTTTCCTTCAGATGTTGCCCCCCCCCCTCCCCCCCCACTTTTTGGCGCTGTAAGGTCGAACACTGGCAAATTCCATGACTTCAGTCTTGGACTGTTATAATAATTAGGTTATTGACTTGTTCAGTTATTGAAGTTTTTTTTTTGTCACATTAATTTGGGAAGTTGCCACCTACTTTTTGGTAGTTTAGATTTGTTTTTGGCTTGTCAGATCATTTTGGGAAGTTGTCCCTCCACATTCAAAGCTGTTGCTTTGAGCCTGTTCCAGCCCTTTGCCATTACCTCATGTGTATTTGTTTTAATGTATTTAACACAAGTGAAAACACAATAAAGCTTATAATTAAAGGAAAATTCCTTAAAATTCCCCATGCTTAATTCATTCAAATTTTTCGCAAATACTTTTACTATGTACATCGTTTAAGTTTTAATGTACGATTGTATATCGAAACAAGCATTCTAAGAGTATTGCATTAGCAATACTAGTCCCCTACCGGCAAGTGTAATCTGGTTCCCGTTAAGAATTGAAAATGCCATAATTCCGCCAAAAATTAATGAAGTGGGACGAAATGCAAACTTGATCTATAACTAATCAAGGTAAAGCCACATACCAAAAATCAGCTCAATATCTACAAGCGTTTAGAAGAAAATTACGGAAAACCCGTAAAAATTGAAAAGGCTGTAATTCCGTCAAAAATCAATAAAGCGGAACGAAATGCAAACTTGATCTGTAACTCATCAAGATACACTCACATACCAAAAATCAGCTCAATATCTGCAAGCGTTTAGGAAAAAAGTGCTGAAAACCAAGTGGGACAGACAGACAGAGGGACAGACAGACGGACAGACAGACAGACGGACAGACTCAGAGGAAACCTATAGTCCCCTCTGGTTTCACCGGTAGGGGACTAATAACACAATCGTGTACACATTTATGTTTTTCTAATGTAATTTGTATCCATATAAATTTTTTTGTAATTATTTGAGTAGATAAAAATAGTTAATATTTAATTTTAATGCTTTGACCTTGAAAATACAGGTGGGTTTGCATAACATATCTGTTTGAAAGATGGTGAAGAGAGAAAACATACATGCCTGCTCATGCTTTCTGTGCTTTACTTCTGTATTTAGGTTTAAGTTTGATATTAATTTGATACGCCACATGTAATTGTAGTCTCTAAACCAAATAAAATTCAATCTGAGCATGCTTAGTACTTAGGGAAGAGGTCTTACGCCGTTTTCTGAAAAGGGATTTAGGCCCGTCTAAATTTTGGCACATCTTACATGTACTTAGTCGGATTAACTTAGGCCCAAATCTACGACTTTTTGAGAAATGAGCCCCAGGAGTGCTAGAAAGAGATATAGACTGGTCACAAATAGTAATCCATTTCTGGGAGTCACCTCGAACTTCCTGGAATGACCTTGAATCAAGATCAATACATACCAACCCTCAAGTCATAAACACAGGTAATCAAAGATTACAAAGCTCACCTTGACAAATGTTATCTATAAGGCAAATTTCTAAGAGTGCAACGATTAACCATTTGAAGCTATATCACAGTATATTTTTCCACAGTTCAATTCACGATACACTAAACTGATATCACGGTTCAGTTCAATCGGTCCAGAATTATCTGAATCATCCATTTTGTTTCCTCGTTTACAATTTCAAAATGGCTTTCATGCAAAACGTGAGGTCGGAAGTCGACGATAACACAGTAATGGCAATTAAACTCATCTCCAGCATCTTACAGACCTCAGATTTAACAGGGTGAAGGACTTTATCTCATTTCTAATGTGATTAAAAGTTATAGATGTTAAGACAAGTGATCTAAATTTTAGATCTAAAAGTATTCTATGGTAATACACGTTATCTCAACATGCGTGTATTTCCAACTTGTGGACTAAAACACGATAACACAAGAAATATGACAACTGATTTTTCTACGTATATAAAAGGAATAAAAGTATGAATGTTTTCCTTTTTCATTCCAATTTAAAAGGAAGATTATATGGAAAGGTTCCCTTCTATAAATAAGTTATATCTGAACTTCAATGGTTTAGAATATTGTTACAACTCAAAGATCTATGTACCTATTAATAAAGTTAACAAATTGATATTTTAATTATCAAAAAATATAAATATTTGATATAACCTCTCGAGTTTTAAAACATATGACAAACTTGAAAGACTTCTTTACGTTCTCATGAATCGTCATACGTTTCGTATCGTGAACTGAATGCCGTGATACGTATCGTATCATGAGGTTGCTGTATCATTGCACCCCTATAAATTTCACATCATATTTTTTTTCTATTTAGTGTACATCCCAAGATCAATATCCATGCAAGTTTGGTTTAAGTAATACTAATAGTTACTTGGAAATAGACCTGCTCAAAAAACTTTTAACCTGTTTACTTATCAAGAAAATTTTGGACATTTCCAACTTCCAAAGCAAGTCTGGAAGTTTTCATCCTTAGATGCACCATCTATGCAAGTTTAATCATAACAGGCCATAACATTATATAGCTACTCCAAAAATTACCCTGGTCACTCATCTGGAAAATGTAGCTCAGATTCAGAATCCAAAGCAAGTCTGAAAGTGTCCATCCCTAAATACATCATCCATGCTAATTTGGTTACAATATGGCTAAAATTCACTCATGTGAAAATCTAAGTCAGATCCAGCATCCGAAGCAGGTTGGTTAGTGTACATCCCTAGACGCATCATCCGTAAAAGTTTGCTCCAGGTTGGGCTTATAGTTACTTGGGAATGGACCTCCTCCAACAAGAGACCCATGGGCAACATCGCTCACCTGAGCACATTGGCTAGGCAAAAGCACAAATCAGTTCAGGATTGAAAAGATTACCGGGGGGGGGGGGGGGGGGGGGGGGGGATTGAATTTTAAACTACCTGATGATGCTTCCAAGTCAATATAACAAATGGCTTTGTTGTACTTGAGAACATTTTAAAAAAAAATTACCCATATATTCCATAAAAATTATGTCACAAACTGGATGTTGCTGTGTATTCCTTTGTAAAACTTTGATCCCTCATTGTGGCCCCATCCTACCCCAAGGGTCATCATTTGAACAAAATTAAATTTACACTACCTGAAGATGCTTCCATATCAAAATGACTAAACATGATTTTCAGTTCTTGCGAAGAAGATATTTTCCTATATATGTTCCTTTTATGTAAAATATTCGATCCCCCATTGTGGCCCAACCCTATCCCCAGGGGTCATAATTTAAAAAACTTGAATCTACACTACCTGAGGATACTTCCAATATCAAAATGACTAATCATGGCTTTGCAGTTCTTTAGAAAAAGATATTTTCCTTTATATTTCTATTTAAGACTTTGATCCTCCATTGTTGCCCTGCCCTACCCCCAGGGGTCATGATTTGAATAAAATAGAATTTACACTACCTGAGGATGCTTCCACATAAATATGATCAATCAGGGCTTTGCTGTTCCTGAGAAGAAGATTTTTAAAATTTTTCCTATATATTTCTATGTAAAACTATGATCCTCCATTGTGGCCCCACCCTACTCCCGGGGTCATGATTTGAACAAAATTGAATCTACACTACCTGAGGATGCTTCCATATAAATATGACTCATCATGGCTTTGCTGTTCTTGAGAAGAAGATATTTAAAGATTTTTCCTACATATTTCTATGTTAAACTTTGATCCTCCATTGTGGCCTCCTTACCCTCAGGGGTCATGATTTGAACAAACTTGAATCTACACTACCTAAGGATGCTTCCACATGAGTTTCATCTTTCCTGGCCCTGTGGTTCTTGAGAAGAAGATTTTTAAAAGATGTTATTAATTTTTCACTAATTCTTTATTATCTTCCCTTGTAAGAGGGTGTGGCCCTTTGTTTGAACTAACTTGAATCCCCTTCACCCAAGGATACTTTGTGGCAAGTTTGGTTGAAATCGGCCCTGTGGTTCTTGAGAAGAAGTCGAAAATGTTAAAAGTTTACAGACAGACAGACAGACGAACAGACAGACAGATGGAGGCCGGACAAAAAGTGATCAGAAAAGCTCACTTGAGCCTTCGGCTCAGGTGAGCTAAAAACTTTAACCTGGTCACTCATCTGGAAAATCTAGGTCAGATTCAGAAGTAAGTGTAGTAGTGGCCATCCCTACATGCATCATCCATGCAAGTTTGGTCCAGGTAGGGCTTCTAGTTACTTGGGAATGGACTTGCTCCTTAAACTTTAACCGGGATGCCAACGCTAACGCCGATGGTATAGCATATGCTCATCTCAACTTCGTCGAGGTGAGCCAAAAATCATTTTGATACATCTAAGTATGTGCAAATAATATTCTCCATTACAAGAACAGGAATTAAAAATTTTCTATAGGTGACCTTGAACTAGCTGAAACAACCTATGGCCAAGGTCATGACACACCTTCAGCCCATAAGTAATATTTGTTTGAGATATGAACTTAAAATGATTCTCTATAAGAAAGTTTATATATAAACAGTTACTGAAAAGAGGGATAAACAGATAGACAGACAAGGTGATTCCTATACATAATTACCCCCTTAAAACTTTCCTTGCAGAGGCATAATAATGTGTAATGTAAATGTAATTGTTTTTTATTTGTACAAACATTAAATACCTGTCTAGATTTATTGCTGGAATTATGTCCTCTTTCTTCTTGTCAGCTTTTTTCCAGTTCTGTTTCTTACTCTTCTTAATATTAGCATCTAAATTAAATTCAAACAATGTAAATGTATATTCAGAAGTATTTTCAACAACAAAAACTTTCAATATTCCATGTTCACTACAGGCAATGCAGATCCCATATCAGACTGCACCCCCTCCATGGTTTTAATTTGTTAATGCTTTCCATGTTACACTGTGGCTTGGCCAGCTACCGTTATTCTTCAGCTTTACAGATGTTGCTACTTGTTGATCGATAATAACTTCAAATGGGGAGGGGGGAATTAATCCCTTGAAGATTATGACCAACATTTATATCACAAATACCACATAAAGATTTTTAACTAAAAATTTTTAAGTATTATCAAATTGTATAATAATGATTCATTATTTTTTTTTTATTAATAGTCACTCAAAATTATGCCAATTTTCAAATTAAAATTAAGTGCCCCGCCACAGCATGATAGACCCATCAAATATTGTTCAATTGTCATAAACAGTTTAGAGTGCAAGAAAATCATGTCAACCTTGATACAAGGATTTCAAGGATTTTTCCATTCCTTATAATATTTGTTTATACATCTCCTGTGGGGTAGGCATTAATTATAACAAATATTACATTATAGATCCTCAACTGGTTGTGTTAGAGCTTGACAAATGCCCATCTGCAACCCCCCCCCCCCCCCCCCCAGCTTTCAGATTTGTGAGACATGATGCTCTGAATTAGTTGATATTAGTTGATATTTTCAAAAAATTAAATAAAAATATCATATTTAACAATATCACTTTAGACTTAACAACTTAATCTATATCAAATTGATATTAAAAATAAAAGGCTGGCCATCAAATGACAATGCTATAAACTGACAAGCAGTTTTTCTGTCTAATTCCCAAAGGATACAGATAAGAGCTGCTTGATCAGAGATCCTCTAAAAGAAATGATTGAGACAGCTTGCCTTCCTACACTGAACTCATTAATTAATTAATCTTTAACTGGATGCATGTCCACTTGATACTCCCAACGGATGAATGGATCTATACATACTATCTGCTTTGTAGTGCAATAAAAATGCATATTTATGTCATACTGAAATTAAATTTGAAAACAAAGATTTTTTTTATTTGTTACAAAGATTTATAGAAAGAAAAAAAAACTTGATGCAGCATTTTTAATAAGATTCCTGCATTACTCATAGATTTGTAGGGACTATCTACCAAAATTTATTTTTTTTTTTTTTTAAATACTTTATACTTTTTTTAGATTTAATATCAGACTGGTTTTAAGCTGCAATTCATTACAATATCAACCCCCCCCCCCCCCCCCCCCGAGTTTAATTAGTTTTAATTATACTATACAATATCAAATTAGTTTATTATACAATATCAAATTAATTTATTATACAATATCAAATAAGTTTTAATTACTTTTCACCAAATTCATTTTAAAAGTTAGGCTAGCCAACTATTTAATCCAACATGGCTGATTCTTTTTGCCCAGTTCCCAAGAGATATAGATAACACCTGCTTGATCAGAGATGCTCTACCAGTTAGCTCCTCACACTAAACTCATTAATTTCTCTCTAATTTGACATGTAATTTTCTGTTATCAAATTCTCCTTGACCAGTGCTTGATAATTACACCCATGGGAGAGGTTGAATTTCTCTTGTAACATTATATTTGTTATAGTTTGCTGTAAAGTATATAATGAAAAAAATAAGTATTTTCTTGATTTAACATTTTTTTTAATAAGGATACTGCAACACTCTTGCATTTTTTGGGATTGTGTAATCTAATAGCAAAACGACAGTTTTTTTTTAAATTTCACTTAAATTTAAGGTCAGAGTGACCTTGAAATAGGTCGCGACACACCTTCTACCTAAGATGCATAAATTGGCCAAGTTTGATGATTCTAAGTAGAGATTGTTCTATCTAACGTATCCGTATACATATCCGTATCCGTATACGTATCGAAGTATGAGAGGCATCTCGATCCCGATGATTTAACCGTTGGGTAACATTTCCATCGTTTCTTGTTTGATTTTAACCTCATTCATTGGAAAATAAGATATATAGTAATATTTCTAATGAAACGTATCAAGTTGCTGTTCACACCTATCATTTTATGGAAGGATTTTAAAAAAATAAAATTAGTAAAAAAAAAAATACGTATATTTTTATTAAATTGTTTAAAAATAAAAAAAAGGTTCAAAAAGGGATTTCTCTCTCTCTCTCTCTCTCTCTCTCACAATATCAGGATATATTATTGTTTCATTCTAGAAGTAACCTTTACCAGTACAAGACATCATCCCCATAATGCATACAGTCAACGCTCGTTATCTTATGCAACTTGATTGGACCAATTAAAACTTCGATATATCCAAGGGTTTGAGTTAACAAAGTTTAACTGTACGGGGTGTCAGAGATCAAACATTCTAGATGAGAATAAGTTTGTCTACATCAAGCAGACACTTAAAATTGATTAACAAAGTGGAGAAGGGGGAAGCTGGGCCGAGGCAGGGAGAAACTAAAATATGACAAGTCACCTTATCAAAACTTTGACAATAAAAAGGTGACCATACTGCATACTCTATGTGCTATGTGTGTGTGTGGGGTGGGGGGGGGGGGGTCACTGAAAATTTCCATCCTCATTTTCTTTTTTATCATTATCAACATTCTGTATATCATTTGATTATATTTGATGGACATAGTTCTCCAGAAAAGCTTAGGAAAACTGGCAATTCTGGGGTGGTTTGAAGACTCTAAATTACCTAAATTGTTAGGTGATAGCCGTATCCGAAATTCCAGAGAGCTTGAGAAAGGACTACGATTTCCGAAAGTGATGCAGTTACACGCAGTTTTTGTCGGGGATGAATTAACAATTGTCGATAAAAGGAGATAAACGGAGAAATTTTTTTATGTCTTATACATTACTTTATATACATGTTGACCAAAGTTTACTTAAATGATTTATTGAAATTAGGATGACTGTAATTCTTTGTGTACAAGCGGGATCAATACTCTGAAAAAATGATATTTTTTTCAATTTAATGTTTTGTATAAATTTTATCCTTTATTCTGTGTGTTTTTTTTTTATTTCTCTGCTACGTTGAAGCAGCCTCTTCTATTCAATTCTATGAACTGCGTGTTGAATTGACTCACACTTGTCCCAATCTGGGCCCAAATGCATAAATAAATAAATAAATAAAAATATAAATGAATAAAAATCAGCAGGATGGACAAGGTAGCATAGAAGAAATAGATAAATCTATTGTTTTGGCATTATTTAGTCTAATGTTCTTTTCTTTCTTATAAAAAGAGGGTTAAGATAATGAATACCCTATTTTAGTTCTATATCAAACCATGAATTATAATACACATGTACGACAACAAGAGAACTAAAAAGAAAAATCAAATTTAACAATTGAATTTTCATTTCATTACCTATTTTTGTCGCCATGAAGTCTTTTCAAGTTATTACTGTTGAAAGGACAAAATATAAAACAAAATCAAGAATAGACCCGAAAGTAGCAATTTCAACTGGGGAAGGGAAGGGGAGACATACAGGTATTTGTCAAATAGTTCATTGAAAAAAAAAAGAATGAAGAAAGTCAACAGACGATATGGAAGTTTGTGTGTGCATGTTCGGGGGGGGGGGGGGGGGGGGGGGGGGGGGGGGGGGGGGGGAGGCTGGTATTTTTAACCATATGCTGCTAAGGGTCTGGAAGCAGATTCTCTTTAGAAAATTGCTAAACGGTTTTATTGATTGTGTGGATATCAACGTCTTTTGCATTCAGTGTGTGAGTGAGTGGGTTAACTTTTATGTCATCTAATGTAAATTACAGAATCAATCAATAAAATGTCCTGATGTTAAGAGGGAGAGAGGGGGATCCCGATAAATGTTTTTAAACAAAATTGCAAATAAAGTTTTAAACAATATAATGAAAACAAATACAAATTTATTGAATTTCATTATCCATTTTTTTTTTAATTTTCCAGCGAAATAACCAACTTTTACAGCAGCTTAATACATTTTTTTATTAGAAAAAATACCATATGCTATTCTTAAATAAATGGGGCTGCTTTAAAACCAAACAAATTACGATGGAAATTATAGGAAATAGTTTAGACATCGGGATCGAGATGCCTCTCTGAGCTCGATACGTATACGGATACGGATACTTATACGGATACGTCAGATAGAACAATCTCTAGTACAAGAGTTTTCTAGATATGAGCCGGACAGGATTTTTCCATATTTGGCCATAGCATCTTAATTAAAGGTCAGAGCGACCTACTTTTAGTGCGTGACACACCTTCTACCCAAGAAGTATCAGCTGACAAAGTTTGATATTTTTTATCCTAGGCCTAATAGTATCAAAGTTATGAGCCGGACACGAGAAAAGCTAACAGACGGACGGACATGAATGCCATAATATAATATGTCCCGTCTAAAGACGGGCGTATAAAAAAGAGCATGCATTAACTATATTTTTAATGAGAAGTGATTTTAACAATTTTATATTGAGAGAAATACTTTAACAAACTCCTAAGGAGTGAACTGTAAGCAATATTCAATTTTAGCAATCTCAGAACCCTTGCTAATAATGCCAAAGTTGATTCCTTGCTAAAAATTCTGCTTATATGGTATTCCTTTGTAAAATCTTATAATCCACTGTGGCCCCTTTCTACTCCTGAGGCCAGGATTTGAACAAATTTGAATCTATACATTTCTTAAGGATGTTTCCATATAAATATAATTAATAAAAGCTTTGCTGTTATTAGTTAAGGTTTTTCATATAAATTCCTACGTATATACAAAATTAGTACATAGTTTCAAGGTACAAGTCTTGTTGACATTTAAGTTTGACCGCCATTTTTGAATACAAGGTCCGGCTATTAACAGGAAAAGGACATAACTATGGGATTTCACTTAAATCAGAAAAACACAAACAGTAAAGATGTTCTGTATACAAGCAGTTTACTAGATAAGGTGTCAAAATGCTGGCAAATTATTATTTTTATTAAATTAGACAATAAGTAATT